TCATCTTCATCTTCATCTTCATCTTCATCTTCATCTTCATCTTCATCTTCATCTTCATCTTCATCTTCATCTTCATCTTCATCTTCATCTTCATCTTCATCTTCATCTTCATCTTCATCTTCATCTTCATCTTCATCTTCATCTTCATCTTCATCTTCATCTTCATCTTCATCTTCATCTTCATCTTCATGTTCGTTCCCCTTCACCTTCTCCTTACTCCCAATCTCGGCCGTTATCCTTATACTCCTTATATCGTTGTCCTTCGTCTATATCCTTGTCGTTGCCTTTGTAATGCAAACGTCTATAGATAACCCGGTCAATCATCATAGAGTGTATCCTCCTCTACATGCACCTGTAAATATTTTTTTGCGATATTGGGTTTTTGGGGAATATTTAAATATGTACGTTCTTCAAGTCTTCCAATGTCGTGTGCGATTTCTTTATCGTATACGTTTTTTATTTACTCACAAATTAAGTTTGAGCACTTACTTGTTTCTATGTGTCGTTTCCTTAAAAAATAGTAACTGTAATATTAGAGCTCGGAACCGAGCTTTTCAGGCCTTCAGCGCTCTATGCAGCTATGCATTTTATGCGTCAGCTTTGAACCCCTAAAAAGCTTGGTGTGGAGTTCTAACTACATAGGTTGTTAAAGACTTGACATGAGTTCAAAATTCTTCTACAAAACTTGACTGTACGCCCTGCTGTTACCTTGAATGACTCTTCAATATCTACTAAAAACATTCTAGTACAATAATTATATAAACGTATGGACATACATATTTACATACGTATGTAGTTGCATTTGTATCTGCTATGACTTATTTACACACAAATGCGTATGCAAATACATACACACATACTTAGTACATATGAGGTAGGTAAATTAGCCTAAATGAGCTAGACCTACATATTTACATATTTATCACTTAGAAATGAGTGATGAGTGATGAGTGATGAGTGTGTGGTTGGCTCCAATGCCTAAAGCGTTTGGTTTATAGATCACTGTAATTTGTAAGTGAGCACGTAATTACATATGTACGTACATACATACATACAATATCCACAAATTACCCACATACATATATGTAATTGCACTTATAGCCTCCTTTATAATTGACATTTTTACCAATTAGAATAGAACCTGTTTAATGCTCGTTTGACGTTTATTTTGTAACTTATTTTGTTTTGTTAAGCATTTTATAGCTTTTTCGTAGCCTTAATATTTAGTACTGCAATACGTTTCATTCCAATTTGCTGGATGTAATTTCAGCCTTTTTTTTCTGACAACTTGATCGATAGTGTATGTACATATGTATGTATGTCTCAACGCACGTTAATTTATATCTTTCTACGTCAGCAGATAATGAGTTACTTTGTGATTTGTTGATTATCTGAATACATCAATTGTTAGAAGAATTCAAGTCCATGTGTTCGATCATATGTATATGTACATTAGGGTGGTCCAAAAT